ACATATGGATAAAGTCATTTGGGAACTTTCTAAAGAGAGGCATGTTGAAAGAGAGGAAATCGTCTTATATTTTTATGTATTTCCCACACTGCCCAACAAGGCCCTTTGTGCAGCATAGGCCCCCGGCAGCTGCGGGCGGGGCGCTGCGACTGAGAGCCACGCGGCCTGTGAGCCAGGCAGCCGCGGTGTGAAAACCCACCGTGCCGTGGCACAGCTGTGCGGCAAAGCCAAGCCCCTCCTCTCCCACAGCACCCGTTCCCCACTGCAAAATGGGATCCTTACACACACGTCTCTGAAACACAGGGGCGCCGGAAGGGTTGGATGTACTATGTTCACATTGTTTGGCACATAGTAGTTGCTCAATTAATGGCAGCTATTTCCATGATATTTGCTTAAGGCTTTCAGGAGACCAGTTAATTATCGGGTCTCAGCCTTGTTTTGTCTCTTTTGCTGGGGTTTTGTCAGCTAGCTAGAAAGTAAAAGAAACCGAAGAAAGCAAGAAGAGTTCTTTGTACGTCCAACATGATTAATACTGACGACACTAACAATTACATTTTCACACAGTTTGTATTTAAGGTATCTCCTCAAACGGCCCAACTGACTTATGAGCTGAATGATGGTGAACTGTGGAGTCTTATTTCAAGGCAGCAGGGCTTGAAGTCAAAGGCACAGAGAGCGGTCCCCACACTGCCCTTACAAGGCTTGCAAGCAGAGTGCCAGGACTAGGAATGCTAAGCAATGTTTTCACCCGTAGGGATGATCAGAAAATCCCCCGTGGCAGGTAGAATGTAGAAATACCCCAGGCAATGCCACTAGTTCCTGTTTGCTTTTTCTTATCATATGTTTTATAAGTGGAGCCCCTGCTTTTAGTCGCTTTTAGTTGTGTCTTACTCAGCTCAGGCTATATAACAAAATACCATAGACGGGTGGCTTCAGCAACAGACATTGATTTCTCCCAGTTGTGGAGTCTGGAAGTCCAAGACCAGGCGGCCAGCATGGTTGGGTTCTGGCTTGCAGACAGCACCTCGTCACGATGTCCTCACGTCGAGGACAGAGGGAGTTCTCTGGTGTCCCCTCTTGTACAGGCACCAGTCCCGTCCTGTGGGCTCCCCCCCACACGGCCTAGCCCCCTCCCACAGGCCCCGCCTCCTGACACCGTCACCCGGGGTGGGGCCTCAACACAGGGATTGGGGGTGGGGAGGCCCCCAGTTCCGGCCACAGCAGTTTGCTTACTTTGTCTGACAATGTTTATCATATGCAAATACTCAGGCACTGATATCAAGGAAATTAATTGTAAATGTCAATATTTCCTCTTTTCTCCACTACCCGAGTCAGTCTGGGGTGAGCTGCAGTAGCCAGGGTGCGCAGAATATCCGCCCACGGCCGTTTCCAGTCGCTCCTAAGCAGTGGGCTGTGGGCGGGGAGGGGGAGCTTGTGTTTGAATCCAGCTAAGTGCCTGGGAGCTCGTGTCAACGACCGGACCAAGCCGGTACTGGAGCAGGAGGAGCAGGCGAGCAGCGCTCTCCTCCGAGGTGCTGTTCCGCTGAGTCAGGGTCTACACCAGGGGTCCTCAAACTTTTTAAACAGGGGGCCAGTTCACTGTCCCTCAGACCATTGGAGAATTTGCACTGTAGGCCCTGGATGAGTCGGCTGCTAAGCAGGACAGGCAGCTGCGGCAAAAACACCTGGAGGGCAGGATACATGTGCTAGGCGGCCCGCACGTGGTCCGCGGGCCATAGTTTGAGGATGCCTGGTCTACACTATCTCCTCTGTCAAAGTTCCCAGGGCAGTGCAGGGCAGGGGACAGAGCGGCTGTGTACCTCCTTAGCTGTGCTTGCCGTGGACCCTCCCCACCCCCACCTTCGAATCCTGCTTCTCCCACCTCCCAGCCACGTGACCTGCGCTAATTCAACCAACCTCCACGTGCCTCAGTTTCCTCTTCCATTAGAATACAGGCACTAATGCTCCCCGGGACAAGAGTGGCAAAATGGTGACAGTGACACAGAATTAAGCCAGCTGAGGGACAAAGGGGGACTCATTACATCCTTCTCTCTCTTCCTGTGTATGTTTGAAACTTCCCAAAATAAAAAATGTTAAAAAGAAAAAGAAAGAGTGCTCCCTACTCCCAGCGTTATGGTGAGGAAGGAATTAGATGACGCACGTGGCATGTTCCTTACAGGGCCCGCGCACAGTGAGTGTGTGGTGAGTATTAATAATTACTACTAAGGGAATTAAGATCCAAAACTAGATTTGAAAGCAAAATCTGCCAAGTAAGTTGAAATTTAAGTTAGTTTGGTCCTCACAGTGAAGCTACTGTATCTAGCACGTTACTGTATCTTCCCCATCATGTAGATGCCATAAATAGGGCATGACAGTTTGGAACAGGGAGGGGAAACATTGTGTCCTCCAGGAACCACCCCCCTGTTCCCTGGCTTAGTCCCTTAATGTCCTGAGGACTTGGGGTGACGTGCCAAGGCATGTACGTTCGGTTCCAAAGTATCGTGAATGAATTTGAGCTGCTCACCCGTCCTTCTCCTATATGCCAGGTGCCTGGTAGCATGTTTTCCTTTGTATTTTCTTCCCCCGAATCATACAGGAGACTTAAGTCAGCATATTTTTTACCCAGCCCATTCTCCCCCACCCTGTGCCATTTCTCAGACTCTGTCTTCTCGCAGAGAAGGCTGTGGGACCCACCTGTGATTTCAGTTCCTCACCCCTTCACCACCAGCATCTCCGCAGAGGTTCTCGTTGCTTTGTGCCTGACTTCGATTCCATTGCCCTCGGAGATGAAGTGCAAAGGTCTTTAGAGCCAAGCAATCTGAGAGACACAGCTGGAGAAAATGACACTCTGTTACCCCAAAAATGTGTAAGCCCCTTTTCAAGGTGACGTGTCCCATGTAAGAGCTTCGGTGAGTAGAAAGCAATGAACGGTCTGGGTTGAAGACCGACAGCTACCCTCACTACCATGAACATCTGCTTCTCCCCCAGTGGTTTGCATAAGGACAGTTCTCTGAGGCCCAGCGACAGTTCTGTTCATCCAGGACCAGCGGCCACTTCTGTGCATTCCCTTCCTAGAACGCGCCCACCTGAAACCTGCGAATGTGGCTTGTTTGGGAAAAGGGCTTTGCGGATGGCATTGAGTTGGGGATCTTGAGGTGAGCTCACCTGGGATGGGGAGGCCCCACGTGCAGTGACAACGCCCTTATAAGGGAACAGAAGGAGAGGACACAGAGGAGGAGGCCACGTGCCGACAGAGGAAGAGGTGGGAGCCACTCTGCCACGAGCCAGGGGTCACCTGGAGCCACAGAAGCTGGAGGAGACAAGCGGGGACTCTCCCCGAGAGCCTTCCGAGGGAGCTCGCTGTGGCCACCTTGAGTGTGGACGTCTGGCCCCCAGACCTGTGAGAGGACAGAGCGTTGCTGTCGGCCTCCAGGGTCGTGGGGATTTGCTGGGAGGCCGCAGGCAGTGAGCACGGGGGGCTGCGGCAAGGCTGCGGTGAGGAGGGGCCGACTCCGGGTCACCCTGAGTCCGGGTGGAGGATGGGGAAGCCCCAAGTCTGTCACCCTACACCACACGCCCGGGAGCTGCCTCCGAGTCCAGGCCGCCCTGGGGACCCTGGAGGACCCTGGAGGGACCCTGGAGGACCCCAGCTGGTCTGTTCAGCGTTCTCGGGCTCAGCAGCAGAAATCCCAGCCGCAGAGGACATTTGCCCTAAAGAAGTGATCTCTAGCTCCAGTTCCACCCCAGGCCTGTGTGACACAGAATGACAGCTATGAAGCTGCTCCTAGACTTCCCAGAGCAGGTCGTTTTGTTTTCCCTTGAGCCAGTGGTACATTTCTCCACCTGATGAGGCCCCTCTACTGGCAGCCCCGTGCCCGCAGGCCACACCGACTGCTCCCCTGTGCGTATCCAGTGAGCAACCGTGTGAAGAGGTTTCTTGCTCCTCAGACACGGTGGAGAAAGCCCGAGAAGGGCGGGTCCGGCCGCCTCTGGGGAAGCAGGGCCTGTGTCTCCCACACACCACCGTCTCCCAGAGAGCCGGCTGGGAGATTCGCTCAGACGCACGGGGTCACAGAGACAGGTGGGGGACACACGCAGTGTGGGGGACACAGCAGTGGACCGGGGCCAAGCAAAGATCCTGCCCCATGCTGCAGCGTGCATGGGCCTGGAGGCAAGTCTGGGCCATTCCACTCTCGGGGAGCTGCAGTCGTCACAGCCGAGGACCCAGGCGGGAGCACGGAGACTGCCGGGGGCTGGTGGAGGACACGGAGTGAGTTATTGTTCAGTGGGGACAGGGCTGCAGCGTGGGAAGGTGACAGAGTTCTGGAGATGGAAGGTGGCGACGGCTGCACAACCAAGAGAATGTGCCGAGTGCCGCTGCCCCTGCAGACAGCAGTGCAGATTCAGAGGAACCCGGTAACAGCTCTGCGTGCCTCGCCAGGACTTTTGACAAAGGCGATAGAAACCCACCTCCATTTTCCTTTTTAGTGTTCCTCTCAGTGTGCAGAACACAAACCCCCAGATCAGAAAAAGGAAGATGATCGCCATATTATTATTGATTTGTTTTTGTTATTCTTACAAAGAGGAAATGTAGAATCCTCCAAAAATGCTTTCAAAGTTTCCGTCTCCAGGTAAAGCCTCACAGCAGACAAGTGACGAGTGTTCCACCGGGTTTGGCTTCCTCCCCCAGAACTGTCGCGTGTGTTGGGACGCAGGGCTTTCCAAAGTGTGGTCCCCGGAGCAGCAGCTTCCGCATCACCTTGCACTTGTCAGAAATGCAGATTCTCGGGGCCCAACCCCGACCTACTGAGTCAGCGAATCGGGGGCTGGGACCCGGGGACCTGGGTTTAACCAGCCCCGCCCGCCCGTGCCTGACATGGCTCACACGGGGGAATCCCTGGCCCGCCCCCACAAGGGCCTGGGGCGGTGGCCCGGGACAGGTGTCCCCTGCGGGGGCTCGGGCAGCGATAACCTCTGCTCCCTGCAGCGCGGTGGCCGCCTCCGAGGGTGGAGCCGGGCCCGCCCCGCCTCGCACACTTCCCGCTGCACAGGTGGAGCTGGACAGAGCCTGGAAACCAGGTCGGAGGAGCAGCACCTTTGTAAAACGTCCTCCCGCCTTGCTCCTCGTCGCCAGCCCCAGGAAGCCCGAGCGCGGGAGCCGCCAGCATGGGTAAGCGCGGCGCGGGTCGGCGACACCGGGGGCGGGAGCGGGGGCGGGCGCAGGGGCGGTGGGGGCTGAACACGCTGGTCCCGCGGCCACCTGCGGCTGGCGGAGGGGAAAGGAGGGAGGGGTAGCACCGCCGCGGGATACTACATGGCAGCGGGCGGCGGGGCGACCCAGAGGTCTGCGGGGCGGGGGAGGAGATCTGGGGAAGTTTCAGGGCAGGTCACCTGATGTCCCTTCCCGCGTGGTCACCGCGCTGCCCAGACTCCCAGGTTTCAGTCATCTGGAGCTGCGGGCATGCTGGGGACTGCTCGTGTGCCCACCTGCTGGGCACAGTGTGCTTGGAGCTGCACCCGTGCAGGTGACAGCAAGATGGGCAGAACCTCCGTCTGTCTACTGGGTGCTGGGTGACCTTCTTTGCACTTCTCTTGCCACTGGCTGGCGAGGTCACCCTGGAGTTCTGGAGGGAGTCCTGGTCTACGAGCAATTGGGGTCCTCTCTGTGGCCCCGTCTTTGTGACAGTTCTGCACTGTCCTGGGGCTAACCTGAGAGAAGCTGCAGGAGCTGAATGGCAGGTTCTCCTGGGGGTGGAGCGAGAGCAGGACAGCCAGGACATGGTGGCAACTGCCTCGCTTCAGAGCTAGCAAGGCTCTTCCATCAACGCCCACCCAGGGAGACGCAGTGCACAGCCAGAGAGCCAGAGACCAGCCCGGCCCTCTTCTTTCTTAAAGATGGGGAAACTGAGTCAAGTGACTCCCCGAAAGTTGTGCCTTGGGAGGGCCCAGGCCAGCACTTTGCTGATGACATGCCACATGGTTGAGAGAAGGAGACCTGAGCTTGGCTCACCTGCATTTATATTCCATTCTAACTCTCTCACCCCTAGGATCTTGCTTCAATACAGCAAGCTCTTTGGGGGCCTCGACTTTCCCAGCCACTAGGCAGAGATGCCGGTGGCTGCATTACGGGTGCAGGGGGGACATGCATGTCCGTGCTCAGCACCCCGCTGGTTTGGAAGCACTTCCTGGTTTGGAAGTAGAAGCAGTGTGTGGTTCACACTTTGGACTCTTAATTATGGCTAACTGTGCTCGTTCCAGAAAGATCTGCAATTTCCCTCTTGGGTGGAGGCTGTCAGCAGAGTGCACCCAACAGACCTCAGCTCCGCAGGTGGCTTCCTAGGCTGGGATTCTGGGTCCCACCCACACATAACCGATCACTCCTCACTCCATGTAACTTTTCTTTTATTTTTTTTTATGAATGCAATTATAATTCTATAATTGATAGAACTTTTATTATTTTATTTTTTTTCCAGCATATTGTGGGGGTACAAATGTTAAGGTTACGTATATTGCCCTTGGTCCCCCCGCCCCCCTCGAATCAGAGCTTCAAGTGTGTCCTTTCCCCAGTTGGTGTGCATCGCACTCATTATGTATGTGTATACTCATCCCCTCCCCCCCACCTGCCCGACACCCAACAAATGTTATTCCTGTATGTCTAGTTAGGTGTTGATCAGTTAATACCAATTTGCTGGTGAGTACATGTGGTCCTTATTTTTCCATTCTTGGGATACTTCATATAGTAGAATGGGTTCCAGCTCTATCCAGGAAAATACAAGATGTGCTATATCACCAGTTTCTTAAAGCTGAATAGTACTCCATGGTGAACATATACCCCATTTTATTAATCCACTCATGTATTGATGGCCACTTCTGTTGTTTCCACATCTTTGCAATTGTGAATTGCGCTGCTATAAACATTTGAGTGCAGGTGTCTTTTTCATAGAGTGACTTTTGTTCTTTTGGGTAGATGCCCAGTAATGGGATTGCTGGATCAAATGGTAGATCAACTTGTATCGCTTTAAGGTATCTCCGTATTGCTTTCCACAGAGGCTAAACTAGTTTGCAGTCCCGCCAGCAATGTAGGAGTGTTCCTATCTCTCCACATCCATGCCAACATTTATTGTTTTGGGACTTGTTAATAAGGGCCATTCTCACTGGAGATAAGTGATATCTTATTGTGGTTTTGATTTGCATTTCCCTGATTAGAGATGTTGAGCATTTTTTCATATGTTTGTTGGCCATTATTCTATTTTCTTTTGGAAAGTTTCTGTTCATATCCTTTGCCCACTTTTTGGTAGGGTTGTTTTTTCCTGAATGTTTTTTCCTTGATGATTTCTTGGATTCTAAATAGATTCTAGTTATCAGCCCTTTATCGGATGTGTAGGTTACAAAAATTTTCTCCCATTCTGTGGGTTGTCTGTTTGCTCTCTTGACAGTTTCTTTGGCTGTGCAGAAGCTTTTTAATTTGATCAGGTCCCATTTATTTATTTTTGTTGATGCTGTGATTGCCTTTGGGTTCATGTAACTTTTCTGGGAGGTGCTCTCAAGCATGTGTATCTGTCTTCACATACCAAGTCTCTAGGTAGCATCCATGTGGGGTTGGAACCCCTTACCTGTGCTTAGCACCTAACAGATGGTTCAAATCAGGGTAGTTGTCAAAGGCAGCAGCCTGGTTGTGACTTTTGAAGTTCAGTTCCACATGGATTGATGCTTTCTAGTTACCAATTGAGTTTTTCGACAACTGAGATTGGCATAGCATGTGAATAGCAACAAAAAGTTTGATTTTTACTGAAGTCTTAACTGTTCTAGTATCAGCTGAAAGTGAAAAAATTGTTTAAATGTTTTTTAAGAAAAAAAAGTAGTAGTAACTTTTCCTCTTACAAATAGATCTTTGGCACCTAGATTATGCCAAAATTGTCTGAGATACCCTAGTGACTGAAGGAGACAGTTGGAATACTTGGCTAACCAGGGAGGAAGAAAGATGACATGATTCTCAGAGAAACTAGACTCCATCCCGCTGTGTAACTGGACACATTTTCACACCAGGTGCTTGAATGTCCCAGGGAGTGGCAGAAGTTCTGAATGAGTGGGAAAGCAAGGGATGGGATGAGATTCTGAACTGAACCATTGAGGTGTTTATTAGACTTGATGACATAAGCCATGAGCATCCAAACAATCAATGGGATAAACAGCAAGTTGCTTTGGGTGTGGCAGGGCCCAGCTAGACCTGGCTGCAATGTCTTGTTCAGATCATGAACTGCACACCCTTTGCTAGAAAGCAGGGCTTGACAACCTTTTCTGGACAGTGCCATGTGCCAAATACTTTGGGCCCTGGGGCCATATGGTCTCTGTGGCCGTTTCTCAACTCTGTTGTCTAAAGCAGTTACTGACAAAACATAGACACATGGACGGAGCTGTTGCAACAAAATTTTACTTGTGGACCTTGACATTCCACTTTTATATGATTTTCATGGGCCAGGAAGTAATCTTTAAAACGTTTTTTTCTTTTTTTTTTTTTTCATTGTGCTAAGCACTTTTTTTTATTTTTTTATTTTAGCGTATTATGGGGGTACAAGTGTTAAGGTTACTTATATAAGGTTACTTATATTACTTATACATGCCCCCCTCCCCCCTCGAGTAAGAACTTCAAGCATGTCCATCTCCCAAACGTTGCACATCTTACTCGTTGTGGTTGTATACACCCATCCCCTCCTCCCCCCTCCCACCTAAAACATTTTTTTCAGTGTTTAAAACTGCACAGCCATTCTTAGCTGGCTGCTGTACACACGCAGGCGAGGAGGGACTTGGCCTGGGCCGTCGTTTGCTGGGCCTTGCTTTAAAGCACTGGGCGTTTCTCAGAGTCAGGGCGGAGAGGGGGCTGTCCTCCCAGGAGCTGTCTGGTTGAATGAGGTCTCTGAATGGCAGAGAACGTACCAGGCTGGGGAGAAGCTTTAGTGAGGACAGACGGTCTCTGAGGCCTTTGTAGGGCTGGGGACACTTTTGCTGAAGGTTTTGCTGTTTGGTCTCTTTCCTCTCACCCCGCTTCACACTCTTTTCCAAAACTCAGCAACATCTATGCTAAATTCACTCTGAAAATTAGGTCCAGGGCTTCAAGTTCTGTGAAGAAAGGTCCTGTTTCTGTCTGCCACAGCCTCCGGGTTGATTTGAGAAATTCGTTCCCTTAATGAAGGATACTTTCTTATTAATATATTCCTGCCCTCCCGATCTCAGCCCCTGCCCGGCCTCGCATGGGATCCTGACGAGTTTTTCCAAGTCAGCTGCTTGCCTGAATGTAGAACAAGGGACTATCCTTGAAGGCACCTCACATCTGGCCATTTGAATGAAGTTCTCTCCTCTCCCTGTAGGCTCTTGGGTCAACCAAGAGCAATGTGGAAGTACCAGGGAAACTGGTGTTCCCACTGCTGTTCCCACAGCCCTGAGTGTGCAGCAGGAAGCTGAGGCCGCCCCATGGGAAAGGGAGCCTTTGGCATTTGGCCTTTGGGAAACCGCCTTCCTCCTGGCCAGCAGCAAGAAGAGAGAACTCCTATCACTGAGCTCTTTCATCTGATACTAAGTCCGTGGTTTTAAACTTGAGCACACGTGGGGCTCACTGAGGGAGGGCTTACTCTGAGCAGTGGCTGGGCCCCACTCCTGCAGCGTCTGGCTCGGAAGGTCTGGGGCAGAGCTCAAGGGTTTGCATCAGGGCAAGTCCCCGGGTGCTGCTAACACACTTTGAGAACCGCAGTTCTAAATGACTCCAAATGACAGGGATCTCTTTGGCTGGACCCTTGCCCATGTCCACGTGTTCCTGCTGTGCCCTAAAATTAGACTGTGGGAAGATCTAGTGCAGGCTGGCCCCTGGCTTGCCCATTGGGTACATGCCCAGGACAATGAAGCGTTGGGTAAATGAGTCGGTGGAATTTGAAAATCAGCCTGTTGCGCTGTGTGTGGACGCAGGGAAAGCAGAAAGGAATGGGAGTGAGAAATCAGTGTGGTCCGGCTGGCTGCCCGGGGTGGACCTGAGTTGCTGATTTACTCAGGTATTTATTTCCCATTCAGAGTATAAAATAATCCTGCCTTGGAGAAACTCACGTCCCCAGGGGGCAGGGACATAGGCCCGTAAACATCATTTTTACGGGTGTGGTGAATGAGGCACCATGAGGTCAGTGA